ATTGGTCTCAGAGGAGGTCGTCGTATTGGTATAGGTCTTTGCAAAATGTGGGGAAAAAAATATATTGTTAATATGTATTTTGAGAATAAAAAGGAAAAATCTTACCGTCTAACATATGGTCGTCTACCAGGAAAAGCCATCTCAACCTATAATGATCTAAAACAGAAAAGATACATGTCCAAGGTTATCTGCTCAACAACTGTCCACACGTGTTCAATGATAACTTTCTTTGATCAATATATCTTTCTTTCTTCTGTTCTTTCTTCTCTTTTTTCTTCTTTTTTTAGCTACCTGTACAATAGTCTTCTCTCGCCTGACACTCTAATAGCTTGGTTGCAGTACGCTAAAAAGTGAGATACCACTATACAACAAGCTACGAATTTTTCTTCACATACACATTCTTTTTCTCTCTCTCTCTCTTTCTCTATCATTATACTTTTCTCTTGATCAATCATCCCCTCTCATAACTCAATACTTCGAATGTCGTCATCACATTGTCTTGTCAGGGGATCCCAGTTTTTGTTTTTTTTTCTCCTCACTCTTTCTATCTATCTATCTATTTCTCTTTTACTCTTCTGTTAGTATAGAATAAGACACTACATATAACCATGACTTTGATGTGTACGACTTTTGTCGACGCCATGATCAAAGCTACTCACCTTTTTTTTTGCTAAACGTATATTATATTGCTTTTTCACTGCTCTCTACCTATTTGGCTGTGCTACGCATGACTTCACAGTTATCGTCGCTGATTTGCACCTGAGCTATAGACACAAATCGTCATCAGAAAAAAAAGAGAGAAAATGTTCGTCCTTTACTTTTTTTTCCTTACCACTTACATTTACTAGACGAAATAGAAAAAAAAAAGAGTCATTTTCTGAGAATGTTCGATATTTCGACACATGATAGTAAAATATAGTAATTAGTGATGAGCTACGTAGAGACTATCTGACGAGAGAAAAGAGTTAATAGTAAGTAAGAAGAAAAAAAACGAGAGAATATGAGCCAGAACAGTATGTCGACAACATGTTTTGGTCTCATCACGTATAGGCATCGACTCGTCGTAAAGGAGAAGAAAATCATTACCATACTTGTGTGTAGTCAGTCAGGAGGGTTTCGGTTGACTGATCACCTGCCTTTTTTTACATTTTTGTTGCACATCTCTCCTTCTGATTTTTTTTTCGCTTCACATAATACCCATAGACGGACGAGTACGACAAACATAGGTGATATTCTAGGAGAGAAAGGGAGAAGAAACGATTTTTCACCGCCTTTCTCTCTCTGTCTCCTCTGTCTCTCTTTCTATCTATAACCTTCAAGGGTATATCTCATCACTTGTAGTTATACCAAGAATGTTGTGATTTCTATTTTTGTATTGGCTGGCCAACTATATTTTTTTTTAGACTCCAACTTTCTCTTTCTCTCTCTCTCTCTCTTGTTGTTGCAATCATCATCACGTATGTATGTTTGTGTATGTTGATCAGAAAAGTCCCCTATTCATCCGTCTTTCTTTCTCTTTTTTTTTTATCTCTACCCTCTTTTTTCGAGTGAGTAAGAGAGCTCTTGCATCGTCAGGCAGGTAGTGATAGTCGTACAGACAACAACAATCCTGTCTAATTTAGGTAGACATAGGGATCATTGTGGAATGTCCTTGAGAAAGCTTTTTTTGCTATTTTCCATTTAATATCGATATAATTTTTATAATTTTTTCTTTTTAGTGAACTCTTAAAATGCCACGAGTTCGAGTGCCTCTTCCTCCACGACTCGGAGCCCCTATTCCATATCCAGTTAAGTAAGTATTTTTATGATAAATATGAGTCAAGGATTAATATAAACATTGAGTTATTTATAGACAATCTGGAGGATCTGGTGGTATTTTAGGCTTATTGGGAGGTTTAGCTGGTCTACTTTTGTGTTTACTTTGCTTAGCAACAATGGGCCTACTTGGTTTATTTGCAGCATTTATTGCAGTAACTGCGTATCTCGGTAAGATTTTAAAAACTATTTGAAATAGATTTTATGTTGTTTTTATTCTCAAACTTTTTTTAGGTTGGATTTATCGAGCATTAAGAGCTGCCGGTAATGGTTCATCTGTTAATTACATGAATATGGCCATCTTGCTAGCTGCTTTGTGCTTTGCCGGTTATCATAAATTGCGCCGATCATTATAAACAATAATTTTCTTCTGCGATTTTTATGTTTTATTTTGAATCGTCAAAGCATCGTCGCTGTTACTCGTTTTCATGATTATTTTTATTCTTTCAAAACTTTATGAAAACATTTTTTCTTGAAAATTCGCACACATTTCATTCTTTTAAAACACTATGATTTACTTTTTTTTCTTTTTCTTCACCTTTTTTTTCTTTTATCACACCGAGACAAACATATACACACACAAACACATTTATTTTTTCTTTAATGAACAAGTGCCGATTTAAAAAAAACAAAAAAATATATTCGTAATAATAATTCCATTGAAGCCATTATCATCATCAAAATTTTTAATATTAGCAACGATATCACTTTGTATTCGCAAAATTAAAACGATCCTTTTAAATGGCTAATGGATTTTTTCATTTAGCGCGGATGTGTTTCTTTCTTTTTGTCGAGCACGTTCTTTTTTTTCTTTGTGTGTGAGAAATAAAATACGACTATTGAAAATATAAATATATAAAATTTTTGATAATATCTTACAATTAGATCACGAACAAGTAGCATTGCTTTCGAATCATTTGATTGTTTATCTAATTATCATAATTGGTAGTTAATAATATTATCACATAATTCTAGTATATTCTTCTCTTAGTTTTTAGCAAAAATTAATATGAAAGGAGATCGGATTTTTTTTGAACAAGTATATGCTAATTATGAACATTCTTAAGGTCGAAAGAATGGTGATTATTGAGTATCTCACTGCCTATTGTATAAATAAATTCATAAGCTAATTAACTTAAAAAAATACAACATCAAATTTAACGTACCATGTAAACGTCTTTGAAAAAAAATATCAGACACACTTCGAAACCAATGAAATTTTATTCTGTTAGAAATAAAAGTTTTCATCATGCATATTTTTCATTACAAATCAGTGAAACAATAAAATCCTAAAACCAAATATCTCTAAAAATACATTTTTGCAAGATAATAAATCTATATTTCTTAATTATTTTAAGGTACATAAATTAAAAATTAACTAAAAAATACTCAAATGTAGCGAACAAAAACTTCTATCAACGTAAGCTTTGCTAATAGAATATTTTAGATAAGTTCTCAACTCTTTAAATGAAAGATAAAATTTCAGCAATAATAAATAATTCAAATAATATTTTCGTATCAAAACCAAAACTAAGTTTAACTTTCAATACACTATTGAGAAGAACACTCTTTATCTTACAAACATCAACAATAAACCTACCTGTTCCTAATATAAAAAAGAATTCGATTACTTTCGAAGTCAGTAATATAATCTAACAGAGCTTGACATTTGTTTTTTTACAAAGATTTTTGCATCATATGTTATATATATATATACGAAGTTATTATTGTTCTGTGGACCGAAAGTTTTAATTCAATATGTTCGTTTATTTTTAGATCTTTACTCACGGAAAAAATTTTCGAATAAAACCACAGTTAACTGCGGTTTTCATAAACCGCAATATTAAAATACCACGGTGGAGAACAGAAAAAAGTATCGTGCGGGTACTCAAAGCGCATTTTTTTCCCGCGGGCAGAACATGTTTTCGAGTGACTCAAAAGCTATGGATTAGATCGAAAATTTTGTATTCTTTACCAATGTGGACTTTGAAATTTTGTTTCAGTTTCAATTCGACAGTAGCAACGAAATTTTTGAAAAAGACTTAAAAAAATCAGATTGAATGATTAACCAATAGGCTTTCGTGACTTTCTACCAAAGATGTTTAAAATTATAGTAGTCAGCTGTTTTATCGAACGAATACTTTAGAAAATTTTATATGGTATGAAGATGTTATTTGTACTCAAATAAGATTATACGTCCTTCCATGCAAAATGCTTTGTCGTCAAAAAGTTGATTTAAAAAAAAAATGAAGGTTTCTTCGAATTTTGATTTTACAAAACTCGTCACAATATAGCATACATGATTTCCGGATAGAGATTTTCAATAGAAGCTATATGAACAGAAGAATTAGTAATTGATGATTAGATTTAAAAAATTCTTGTCTTAGATTGATTGATACTTTAAGTAGATGCTGTTCTACTCATAAGATGTCTATTGATTAAATATACTATTTAGTTAATATTAAATAAATTTTATTGAGTCGAATATTTATTTTTGTATATATCTTGCCAACTTGTGTCATCTAGTGAAATTTTACTTTATTAGATATGAATCTCAAACCAATGCAATTTTATTATTATTTGTTGAATGAATATAAATTTTAACTTATGAAAAAATTAATCATAATTTAAAGCGAATAAGGAAGAATAGATTGTTTTTTTTGCAACGAAATGATGAGCTGATGTTGGCATTATCGTATAAAGAAAATTAAATTTTTTATTTTAATATGAAATTCAGGTATTTATATCTATGAATATTGACGCAAAAAAATAAATCATAATATTATCTAGATAAAAGTTTTTATTCTTGAAATTGAACTATAAAATTGTGTTAAACCTTTTGTGTCTAATCTACTTATTACAATAGAATACTTTTTTTTATACATATATATTATTTAACTTTTCAGATGTCAACCTTAACTTTAGAATCAGTAATAACATCAATTCAGTAATAGATAAATAAATAAAAAAATAATTGAATTTTTTTAGCGAACACCAATTGTAATTATTAAACCAATTCTTTATGGTAATACAGCAAAACATTTTGGTTCAAAAAGAGATTCCGATGGACATACACATAAATGGACACTTTATGTTCGATCATTTAATAATGATGATATGTCAAATTATATTAGTCGAATACAATTTCGTTTACATGAAACATATCCGAATAATATTCGAGGT